CAATGAAAAAGCGAAAAGAGTAATCGATGTTGATTTGCCTAACTGAGACAGTTTACAAATTAAAATTGTTAAATCTTTTCTAGATAAGAATTCTATCGAAATTTTGAATTAACTACAAAATTCTCAATCTGTCGATTTATGTTAACAACTTTTTGAAACAATATTTGAGAAAAAGTTTTGTAAATAATAATTCGAAGTTCCTATAGAAGACTTTTTCTAGCGGATCCTTAGTAATGTTTGTTCTTGTTTCGAAGCAACCTAAATATTTTCTTTGTTCACTTTAAATTTCAAACCATTCTCCTCAGACTTGAACTTTGCGCAAGATGGTATTCTAATAAAGCTTTGATAGCGCGCATCTAATTTTGAAAACAATACTTTTAAGAGCGGATGTAAAAAAATGTTGCCAGGTCCTTGGAGATTGTAGTCAATTGCTGGAAAGCTATGGATTTTCGTCTTTAATTTTTTCTCGATATTAAAAGTCAAATATATTATATATTTTAGCAGTATACAATGATTTACAAATGTTTCATGAGAAAAGATTGTAGCAAGTAATTTCTTTGATTTCCATAGTCTCAAAATGGTTGTTAGCATCAACAACCATTGTTTTTCCCTTGACGAAGATCATACTCGTTCTGTCTCATTCTTTTTTTTACATACATCCATTAATACAACAGGATAAGAGGAAGCGGCGAATTATAGCGGATTTTCGCTCAAAAAAAATTTCTCAGAGCGGGGGGGATCGAGAAATTCTTCCAGTTTCGGGCTCTGACATGTAACGAAAGAGCGTGTAATCTCTTCGGGCATTTACTAGACACCGTCATAAATCTTAATGAAATGATATTTTATATCATTTGCACCTTTTCTTTTCAGTTCATTAGAATGGATGCATAATCTTATATTGGGCTCTCTTAGTGTTTTTACAAAATGCACTCCTTTAATTCCATGATGAATTTGGAGGTGGAACAGTGGTTTCTAATGTCCTAAGGGACTGAATGACTTCTGAACTTCGCCTTCCTCTCAATTTTTTCGTCTTCGTCAAATGTCAAATGCGCCAGAAGTAATTAAAATTTATAGAATAGTAGGCTTTACTATGTAAAAGACATTATTTTCAAAGTCACTATAGCTATTGAAACTTCGATAAACTTTTTACAGTAAAGAATTTCAGTATTTACCCACAGTCGTCAATGTTTGCTGTTGGGACGTTAACCAAAGTGTCATCACAATAGCCAATGCCAAACCAGCTGTGACTATACTTAATAATATACCCTGAAAAAACGGTGATCATGCAGTGCAGTATTCTGATAGTTTGCTTGATAATGTCTTCCTTAAACAATACGAATGTGATGTACATCTAAACTTAATAAATTACTAGTTCGCTTTACTTTCTGTTTTCCTGGTCGTTTGATTGATGTTGATTAACATCGGCAGTATAAGTATCATATGGAATGATTTTGTTTTTGTTTGTCGTTTTCAATAAATCTTGACGACGAGATAGATTAGTTTGTGTTGTCGACCATTCATTCATTTGTGGCTGTTGAGAGCCCATTCTAACTACAGTGATTTTTATTCTTTGTGACAAATGAATTGATTAAAAAGAAATAACATTCTATTCTCGTCTTATCGTTATAAAATATACCCTATAGCATAGTTTAAAGCATTCATAGAGCATCTTTCAATTTTTCAGCTCGATGTTTGACAGAGAAGACTTGGAGAATAATAATTTGCATTTTATTATGGAGAAAAAAAATTGTTTTGTTTTGCGAAATCCACGTATATTTTCGAAGGATAGTGAGTGTAAGTTTTAAGTCAAGGTTTTCCGACTCCCCCTTGTCCCTACAGACCTTAAACCGGAGTCAAAATTAAGGACCAACCATCTCCTGATAACCAAGGGAAACAAACACCAGACGGCTTTCCCATAGTTCCTTAGCAGCGGGAAAAAGGCGGATGTGGGTGTGGATGTGGGTGCAGTGAAAAAGAATGGTACTATACGAAACTTTAAAACGGTTCCGAATTTTGCAACGAAATCGAAAGCTTTTTAAAGCTTTGTAAAGGGTGTGATGATGTGGATTTTGGTGTGAGTGTGGATTTAAGTCTTCATCTTACCCACACCCTCGCTTACACCAATACTCACATCCGCACCCACACCCATACCTACATCCTCACACTTTTTTCTACCTCTTTGTCGTAGTTGCAGAACATCACTATGAAGATTGTCATCAATAATAAAAATTCATTTTCTTTTAGCCTTTCTGTCGTAGCAATAGGATAGCCCAAAATAAATTATAATTTATAATTCCAACAGAATTTGTTTTTTTGCCTTTCTGCCGTAATTACAGGACACCCCTACATGAATTATAATTTAATATGTAAACATTTTTTTTGACTTACTGCTATTGTTATAAGAAAGCTGTATGTGAATTATAATTGATAAATCGAAGAAATTGTTTTCTATTTCTCTGCCATAGTTCCAGACTAGCACTATGGAGATTGTTATTTATAATAAGAATTGAACTTTTTTCCACCTTTCTGGCCTATCTTTTGTGAAGCTCTATCTGAATTTCAATTTACAAGTCACATTATTTTTTTTTCATTTTTTTCTGCCATAGTTTAGAACGCTCCTATGTAAATTATAATTTACATTCCAATAAAATTGCTTTTTTTCTCTCTGTCTTAGTTCTGGAGGAGCACTGTGCTGTGATGATGGTGATGTATAATAATAATTAAATTTGTTTATGCCTTCTGGCTTAGCGTCAGAAGAGCCCAATCTGAATTTTATTTCGCAATAGAGGTAAAATTCTTTTCGGCGTTTCTGCCGTAGCGAAGTGACAGCCTTGTGTGAGTGATAATTTATAATTCGAATGAAACTTTTTTCTGCCTTTCGGTTGCAGTTATAGGGCAGCCGACTGCAAATTATAATTTATAATTCAAACGGAATATTTTTTTTGTTTCTGTCTATTATGGTCTTGAATTTTTTTTTCGCAATTTCATTTATATTCAAACTGGAATTAGGCATCTATTTCCTTAACCAGAGCATTTCATTGTAAATGTTCCTGATCTTATCATTGTTCCTATGCTAAGACACAGCTATGATGATAACGTGTGTTTTACATCGTTCATATATACACTGGTCGATTTGACGTTTTTATTTCAGCATAGAAGCAAATCGAAAGGTCTGAATACGGGTGTCAATTTACATTTACTTTTATTTTAATTTACGCGTAAATTAAATTACGCGAAATTTATATTTATTATAAATGTAAATTGCTCATAATTTATATTTATTTTACATGTAAATTTTTTACTTTTCATTATTATTGAATATAAGTTAAAATAAATTATCATATTTCTGTATGATACTTTACATAAGAAATATCCTAGTCTAATTTATTTTTGCATAATATATTTGTTGTATAATCTTTTCCTTCAATTAATAGTTCTTAACTTGCGTAAAGATCTCATTACTTATCATGATGAGTTTTTCAAAGAAGACTCAATTTATACTTTACGCTCTGGGAAAATAGAAAACGCTGCAGTGTCAATGAAAGTTTAAAACATTTTTCATGAACTACACATTGGGTGTGGGTGTGCGCGTGGATGTGGGTGTCCGCGTGACTGTGGATTGGGTGTGGGTGCCAGCTGTGGGTGTGGTTGAAGAAGACGTCTACCTTATACCCACCCCACACCACCACATCTACACTCACATCCACCCTCGATTTAATTCAGAGTAAAAATTAAAGGATAATCTCAAGCTATTGTACGTCTACAGGAATAGACTGTAAGTAAACTCATACTTATTGCTTTTTGATGTTTATTAATTTTTTCATAAGATGCTAAATAAAGCAAATGAAAGAATTGCAGTTGGATAAACTATTAGATGGTATTCGAGTTTCGACTAGAATGCAAAATGCAGTGCGAAGCACGAATCTCTCGAATTTTCGAAAAAAATGGTGTGGGCGCCGGTGGATGTCGTTCTTCTCATCATCCACACCTATACCCACCCACACCCACACCCTCACGCACACCCACATCCACACCCACATCCACACCCACCCACGCTCACACCCACACCCACATCCCACACCCATTACACTCAATTTTTTTTGGTAAAACATATATTCAAACGAAAAGGCAAATATACAGGCTGATAGAAAACTCCACGCGCTTTCAGAATATATCATAATTTTTTAAAAAATATCTTATTACAGAAAAGATTTCCTTAAAATACTGAGTGCAGTTTCTTTTTTCCACGGGTATATATACAAAATAAAAAGAATGATAATGTTCTAATGAAGGGATATGCAATTTATATTCGTTATCAACAAATGTTCATCTACATTTATTAATATAGATGAATTAGCTTCAAAAATGTAACTATGAACATATATGAGGATTATGAAACTTCTGCAGTCAAGTGTCTTTTCTACTCGATCTTAGCTTGAGTAGAGATCTAGTTTAAATATGCTGTGATAAGTTTAAATAAAACATCTTATTTCTCCCTTTCTCTTTCTTTTCTTTAACTTTTAAAATATTAATATAAGGATAAATTTGAAACAATATAATTATTTACTGTAAGAATACTCAAAAATAGAATACATTTCAAGTTGTTAATTTTCAGTCAGCTATATGTGGGAAAGGAAATAGAACAGGATGATAAAGAGAGAAAGAGTTAAAATAGCGTTCGGTGCCA